GTCTTTAATTTCTAAAATTTACATTAGGTCACTTTGTCTTTTAAAAGTTCCCTAATACATCTATAAAACACTCCCCCCCCCCCCTTAATCTGATAGACTGATTATCTCGAGTTTTGGACTATGCTACAGCTTTAACTTTCTGCCCTCAGCTCATCTCAGCCTAGCCACCTATGGCAAGTCTTTGTTCTTGTTTTTCTTTTGTATTTTGGTAAGGCTCACTTAAAATAATAAAAAAGATGATTTTAAAGATGAGGGTGAGGAATTGAAGGAGAAAGAATGCTGGTTCATTATTCTACTGAACTAAAAAGCTTCTAATTCCTTGTCCTTCTCAGTGATCTTCAGGAGAATTCAAATCTTAAGCTTTTTTGTTGCTTGCCAGTGTAACTCCAGATATAGCATTTAAATATAAAACAACATATTATTTTAGCTGTTTTCATATTTGGAGATAAAAACAAAAGAAAGCCTAACAAATGCGGTGGATTTTTGAAAGGAATAGTTATTGGGCAGCCTGCCTCAGTTAAGACAGTTTTAGTTCTAGGCAATTTAAAATTGACTGTTTTGCAAAGAGGATGTCTGGAAAAAGTGAATATGAATATACTGGTGCCAAACCTCGAACAGTTATTCAGTGTTGTAAACCAGGTTCTCCTTTGCTTGGGAGAGGCTTAGCCAATTAAGACAGTTGTAGAGATTGAAGAGATTTATAAAACTTCAGCTCATTTTTATAATCCTTCCAAATTTTGTAGCACCCACCTCAGTTGCATGTTAAGATTGCTTTTGTATTAGTAATTTGAGTTGGCTTAATAGAAACTACCAATTTGTTTTTGAAATTCATTTGCTGTGCACTGTTTCTCCTCAGTCAGTAGGGTGTTTGCTTTTTAGACTAAGAATGCTTAAAAATTAAAAAGTTCCTTCCTGAACTTTTCACTATACAATTCTGAGCTGAGCCCTTTTGTTGGATATTACCATGATTTAAAAATAGTCCCCCTCCAAAACAATTTTCCTCTTGCTGTTCATCTTTGGGAACTCCCCCAGGAATATTTGGTTATCAATTCAGAAGTGAATATCATTGGTTGAAATTGCTGCTTTTGGGCTTCTTTTTGTTAAATATGAGAACTTTAGAATAAAAGTGAAAGTGTGCCTAACCCTGGACCAACTCTACAAAGATGCCAGGAAATGCTTATTTCTTACTTCATTGACCTGCATTAACTCAACAGTAGGGAATTTTGGTACTTTGTATCAAGGAGCCTCATTTTTTCTTTTCCTTCTCTTTTTTCCTTTTGTTTCTTTTGCTGTGACTCTCTTGAGTTCTGAGGTACGAGGCACTCCCTACACAGGGATGAACCTTATCTCTACCTAGTCACATCTTTTATGCCCTCCTGTTAAAACTCCAGCCCAGTAAAGTGAGTTCAGCTGGGCAGGAGAAGGCAAATACGGCTCTACCTCCCACTCACCCAGAGCCTGTGGGATGGGACAAGGCATCCTCATAGCCACTTCCAGAAAGCATGAGCTTCCTCTCCTCCCCTGTTATCTTAGTGTTGTAGCTAAATTGGGTCTCTTGTGTGTGCCTTAAGTGCCCACCCCAGTATAACTCCTGAGAGAAACTAGCATAGCCACAAAAGCAATGGCATTCGCTGGGAGATGAGAATCTGCAGTGGTCGTTCCTTATTTCCTGGGTAAAATTAACTGGGACATCACCATTTCACGATTTTTTCCTTGTGTCTTCCATAGGCCGGAGGGGTAAATAAATAGGTGTTAGCTGGTGTGGCAGCTCAGATCATTTGATTGGTGGTAGCTGCCAGGAGCGTGGTTTTGAGACCGATGTATTGGGATAGTCTGCTGTGCATTTCTTGTCCTTAGATTTGTGAGGATACTTGCAGGGTTTGGTTTTGTGTTTTTTGAAAACTTGGGTTGGAGGGGGAAGAAAAGAAACACTGGGTGAAGGGAGATGAGAGTCACATGTCTTTGTCACCATTAAAAGGGAGGACACAGACCGAAAAGTCTGCAAAGAAAGCAATTCACTTGGCAGGCTCTGAGGTTTTTCTTGGTCCTCAGCTTGTATATAATAGAAAAACATATCACTTAAATTTTTGTTTGTTTGTTTGTTATTGAATTAAACTTACCTCTTTGAACTGTGCACTTACTGGAGGCTCATGTGCATAGTCCTGGTGAGGACTGGGCCTCAGTGCACCCCAACTTTACTTGGAAGCTCATCTTTTCACAGATCACTTGCCGTCCTTTTATTTTTTAAGATTTATTTATTTATTTTAGAGCATGAGCAGAAGGGGCAGAGGGAGAGGAAGAGAGAATCTTAATCAGGCTCTGTGCTGAGTATGGAGCCCTACATGGAACGCTGCATAGAGGCCGACATGGGGCCCAGTGCAGGGCTCGGTCTCATGACCCTGAGGTCACGACTTGAAGCAAAACCAAAGAGTTGGATGGTCAACCAACTGTGCCACCCAGGCACTTGCAATCCTTTAAGATCCTTTCTTTGTGTGACACCTCCAAGAGGACATTCTTTAAGTTGTGTTTTTTAATTTTTAAACTTGGGGTGGAAAGTCCAAACCGAAATAGAGAATATTTGGACATTTCACATAGAATAGGCCCAGACTGTATTTTTTGGGTAATAGTGAAATTCCAGTGCCTTGTAGATTTTTAGAAGCAATTTATCAACTTACCTGTCTTGGTCCTACCCCTTACATTTTAATATTTATTTGCCATATTTAGGTCATATGAAAACTCTTTATAACCTTAAAAATAAATTTTTATTAGAGCCTTACAAGCTCATCTCTCTACTTCTCAATTCTCAAGAAGTAAATACACTGGAACAGTGGTATTTCCTGTAGAATGACAAGCCTCCTATCCCTTAGTCTCTTTTTAGCTGAGAGGAATACTTCATTTTCATTCTTGTCCAAGGAGCTATAAAATAGGTAAGATTCTGGGTGAAGAAGGAATTTGGAGGTTTGCTACTAATCATATAGTTTGTTTTACCCCCTGCATCCTGAAAGTGCTATTATAAAACCTATTGTATTCAGGCTATTTGGGGAGAGACTTAGTAAGATTACAGACTCTTCCAGAGAAATGCATTTTTTAGGTATTAATGCATGCTGGAGGCTCTGCTTTAGTCTTTAGAAAAATTATTACTTTAATTAGCATATTTAATGAACACTGTGGAGTCACAACATTTTGCTTGTGATGTGCTCTCTGATCTTTCTGGAGGTGGGAAGGCTGAGCATCAGAAAAGGATCATTAACTGGACAGCAAGATTCCCCATGGGAAAAATCTAAGAGCAATCTAAGAGCTAGTATGAGAACCTAGATCTCAAGATTCCAAGTCTTTTCTTTTTTTTCTACTGTTGCAGATTGAATCTAACTTCTGCTTATATTACACCTAAATTGTACATTGGCAGAAAGAAATCATCCTATAAAGCCATGTTTGTACTGTCAATTGCTTGGTAATCTCTCCCTATCTCCTTCTCCCTATTCCTTTAAAATGAATAGTACTGGCTCCTGTTTTACTTGTGGTATTTGATTAAATTCCATTAGTCAAATGGGTGATTTTAATTTAAAAGCGGGAATTTTAAAGCAGAAAGAGGCCATAGCAGTGGTTCTATACCATATTTATGTGGTTGATACGTACAAATCTGTTAAAGTAGCTGGAAAGGAGGTCTGTTATGTGCCAGAGGGACAAAAATTTAAGATAAAAGATAATTGATATAAGATTATCATATTATTTTTATACTGCTTCTTCTTGAGGCCATCATATTGTATATAAAAAGAAAAACTAAAAAACCAAATTCTTGAATAGTTGAAAAGCTGGCTGCCATATTTATCATGAGAAATATAACCTTCCTTGGAATAAGCAGATTTATAATTTCTTTGCCTAGTAACAAACGTTGAAAAAATAAGATTGTGACCATCTGAGGGAGATTCTTTCATACTTTATGATCCTGAATCTTGTTTGCTTTATTAAACCATAGTGCTATAACCAAGGAAATGACAGGCATATAACTTTACTTTTGCTAAAGCCTGATTAAAAGTTTAAAAATGAAATAGGTTAGATTCCAAGGTAAGCAAATATATTTACTCCACATAGTTGTACATTCATTATAATAGAAGTAACTTGGTTATTATGTTGACTATAAAATTGTCTCCTGTATTACATATTTGCTATTCATTATTGGACTCTATTGCTTTTTAAAATCTTCTACTTATTATAGTCTCAGTTTGCACCTATTCTAGTAATATTGCTTTAAGTTAATAATAGACATTATAGTCATTAATTTGATGAAAGTAAAAGTCTTTCAACCTTTTCATTCTATACGTGGTGATTAACCTATAACTCTAATGAAAAATTAATATCTGTTACATAACGCAAAAGAACACACAGGCAAGAAAAAAGATTTTTTTTTTAAATTTAGCATATGCAGCAGGGGGCACCAGATGAAGGCAAAAATGAATTCTTATATTTTAAATCAGCTACAGCTTGTATTCTGTTCGTATTTAAATAATGTGGTAGTTAATTGTTTCCCTATTCATTTTCTTGATGATTTTAACTTCTCAGTTCTAAAAGCTGTGTTGAAGAAGACATTCTCACTTTATTAATTCAAATGAAATGTCTTAAAATTAACCATTTTAGCAATTATACAATTTTTTTCTTAAACATTTACTATTTTTAAGAGTTTTAAGAAGGGAGTGGAAACCACATTTAATAAATAATTTCTTGTTTAGAACAAGGCATTATTACTGTTGTTTTTAGTAACTTTTCGGCAGTATGTTATTTCATTAATGAAAAAAGGAAAGCTTCAGTGATTTGAAATGATTTGAAAGCTTAAATTCATTTTCGGTATAGGTGAACTGAATGAATTTTAAATCTGGAAACTGTGTTGTGTCCTTTAGCTAATAAATAGTTGTGTAAAAACAGGTTTCCAAAAAGGCTTGTTTTTTACTATTTGTGGCATCATTAAATAGTTTTTCTTTTACCCCCTCCTCCCTATCATCTAGTCCAATATCAAATGGAAATGATGCGCAGCCTTCGCCATGTCAACATCGATCACCTCCACGTGGGTTGGTACCAGTCCACGTACTATGGCTCGTTCGTCACCCGAGCACTCCTGGATTCTCAGTTCAGTTACCAGCATGCCATTGAAGAATCTGTCGTTCTCATTTACGGTTAGTAGGAGTTTCCTTTATTATTCTTTTCTTCCCTTAATGTTATTACTACTATTTTTGCTTTCTGTCTTTTTGCCTCTAAGAGCAGCCTGGCAGGCCTTCTCAAGTAAATACCAACCCTGTTTCTGCAGCAGCCTCAGCAGCAGCTAAGTCTAGACAGGGTTTCCTTCTTTCTGTTTATTTTTCTTGCTATCAGAGCCCTGATGTGTACATTTTGGAATGCTGGAGTAGCTGCTTCATTTTTATTCCTCCATCTCCCCTCCCTCATTTGAAGGGGCTGGTGGAACTAGACCAGATGTCTAACAAACCCCAATTGCTAGAGTGTCTGGCTCTGTACGTGACTGACCAATCATAACACAGTGTGCCAAGTTTTTTTTATACCTCTGACAGCAGCGTACAAAACCTGGACTGTTTCTTAGCACAAAGATTTTTTTCTTTTCGGCCTATTTAATGGTGTTTCCTCAAGCTCTCCAGACCAGATGTTCTGTGCTGTATCAGAACTGTAGGCAATTTAACAGCTTTATAGCCTTCCCCCTCCCCAAACACTCACAGTTTGCCATATCTGGCAGACTTGCATATAGTTTCCAGCTGAGAAGTAAATGTAACGTCCTGAGTATCTGTCAGAAAAAATACTAATGAATACGATCAATCTTATGAGCTGCCCCAAAATTGTTTCAGTATGTTAACAATTGGATTACAGTAAAGAACAAGTTGTTAAAGTGTACTTATATTGGCTGGAAACATTGCATCATCAGACCTTGATGAATTTTCCACTTGTTTCAATCTATTTTGGTTTTCATTTTATCACCTATTGCTAAAAGTTTCACTGTGTTAAGTTTCAGACAACATGAATGTTAACACAGGTTTTAGGCGAATATTGGCATGCCGGAGCCGTTATCATGCAGCAAGTGCTAAGCTCCCTTACTCATGGAGTGTGTAAGCAGCTAGTTTTGACAAAATGAGTTTCTCTGGAACTAAAAAGACACTTTTGTGATAGCACTTTTTAGTCATTTCATTTTTAGAATCTGTTTTAACTAAAAAATTTGGACAGTGACTATTAGGATGGATAAATTTTGTTCACAGGGCTATTCATTTAAATTACTCGACTGAACTACACAAATGCATGCAGTGTATTTTCACATTTAATATTCATTAGTATTTTTCTTCTAATTATACAAGATGAATATAAGGTGTATAGAACATATGAGATGTTTAATTTTCATCAAGATTTCTGGTTCAAGCTGATGAATAGATTTGAAAATAACTGCATTTTGAATCTTCTGTTTTTAAAACGTTGGGAGGAAGTTACTCTACCAATTCCAAGTAGGATGATAAGGTTCCTACATTTTCACTTAACTATTCGCTATACTGGTTTTAATCTGCTTCAGATTGAGTTCTGATCTTTTATTTTGATCTTCATTTTGTAAATATCGTGTGGTAAGTAACAGTGTGCCTAGAACCAGTGTCATTCAGGCAAAGCATTGTCAGTAACGAAATTGTTAGTAATTTCTTTCTCTTTTCCCTATTTGAGATCCCATAAAAACTGCCCAAGGGTCTCTCTCGCTGAAAGCATACAGACTGACTCCTAAACTGATGGAAGTTTGTAAAGAGAAGGATTTTTCTCCTGAAGCGTAAGTGTTTGGGGGCCTGTGAGGTGTATGGTAAAGCATTGGCTGTTTTCCTTTTAAGATTTTAGTTTGCCACATTTGTTGAATCCTTGGTAGTGGTGGCGTGGTAATGCTTTTGCCATGTGGATGGTAGAAGTCTTTTGCATGGCCGAGTGCCACTTGATTTCTCCCTTTCCATGTTTAAACTGTTCTTTATGGAGTGTCTCATCTGTTGTTCTCACTGTGGGTGAATTCAGTTGGAGTGGGAATTAATTAGCTACTGAATTTGAAGAAATAAATGATTAAATAAAGGGAGGTGGGATGAGTGACCGGCAGCTGTCAGACTGTGAGCTCTGTATCAGGATGATTGTGAGCTGTATGTCTTACTTTCTGAGCGCCTGTTTCATGGGGGGTGGGGATGGGAAAGACATAAACATTTTAAGGTATCAGTAAGGAATGTGGCATTTTGGAAATTTTATGGGTGATAGATATGCACAGACTTAATCGGTAAAGCTGTTTTATGATCTTACATAATGGCATTGGAATATTTACATTAAAATTTTTAAAAATTCAGAATTCTTTCATTTTCTGTTAACTTTGGGAGTTTTGATTTCTTATTAAATTGAAGTTAGTGGCTTTGATTTCATGTAGGACAGTTCTTTGCTAGTTTCCCAATAGCTTCTAAAGAAATTAAGGTGCAAAACGTTTTAAAAGCTAACTCATGAACAATTCCTGGGTATGATAGTTACAACTAAATTAATGAGAAATTGCATTCTTGCTGTGTTCTGAACCATTGTGTATAGGATATCCTGTGAGTGTTCTGCTAGTTGTTAGTTTCTTTAGTTTGGTAGGCTTTTAAAATGAACTTTCCAAGAACTGAAGTATTTCTCTGTTGTAGCTATTTATTTTAAATGTTTTAGATACAGATTATATAGCATAACTACCCATGACATTTACATTTTAGTATCAATGAAATTTTGAAGATACCTGATTACAAAGAAAGAATAGTTTCTTCTGCCAAGAATCTTTTTTTCTGGGCTTTATAGCTCAAACTTGGATTGTTTTCAGTGTTATTCAAATCATTCGACTTATGCTTGACTCTGTAAAACTAGTTTCTCTTTTTTAAAGAGTCCTAATGAAACAAAGATCCTGGAGAGGGCCTGTAATTAGGGAAAATGTATGAAATAGTCAATTTAACACTTACTTCTGACCACCAGACTAAAGTATTTTTTAACATGCTTCACAGATTGAAAAAGGGAAATATCACCTTTGAGCACATGTTTGAAGAAGTGCCGATTGTAATTAAAAATTCACATCTGATCAACGTCCTAATGTGGGAGCTTGAGAAGAAGTCAGCTGTAGCAGATAAACATGAATTGCTCAGTCTTGCTAGTAGGTAAGTGACCCTGTCTAATGAAAAGTCCTTTTTTAATCACTTTCTGCAAAAGATTCTTTCACTTAGAATTTAACCCATCGATCCAGAGAAAAATTATCCAAGCATATTTTGAGGTTCTTGAGACATATGTAATGATATGTAGTATTTGTCCAGCCCTGCTAAGATCCCAGGAAAAAAGCCAAACTGATAAAATGAAAGTGTTTGAATACTAATAATTCCTGTTATAAGAACCCTCTGATGCCTTTGCTGTATCATTTTTGCTTTTGATACAGGGTAAATGCCCATGGGGGAGGGTTTTTTTTGGCAGGGGGGGGGAGCTTAGCTTTATTTATTGTACACTGTCCTTGGAGGCCTATGGTATTATGTCGGGATATTTAATAATGCTCAGGAAAAATACGAAAATGCTTCTTCGTTTTACTGGTGGCACTTGCCCTTGTTCAGATGCAGACTCTATTAGTAGTGAATTTCCAATGTGGATTTTCAAGTAAAATTAGGATTTTCTGAACCTGACACTGCTTTTTCTGTCTTAGACTGTGGTGACATAACTTCCTCCATTGTGACTGCTTTAGCTACCTAGTTGCTACATATTATTTATTGTATTGGTAAAATGCTGACCGAGGTGTTCCAAACAGATTATTTCCTTTATGGAATTAATGTTTCTTTTCCTAGCATTTATTGCTCTTAACAGAAATATAGGCAGAATCGTCTATATAGCTCCTCTTAAGTGCCCGTTAAGCTTGATTGTTTTGTGGTGGGAGAATGCTAGCAGCAGGCCTGTAGAATGAAATTAAATAGACAGAGTAGGTAGTCAGTCTGTATGTATTTGTTGGATGACTGAAAAAAACAAGGTGTGTTTTCTTAAGCAACCAGTTTGGAATGGAGGCTCAGTTTATCAGATTTCTCTAATCCCAGATAGAAGCTTGTGCAAAAGAACATACAGACTTTGTACTTGTTTGTTAGAAGACAAGTAGGGTAAACCCAGGAGGACCTGAGAGCCCAGTATTGTTCTCCATGCTCTGGGCTGGATAGGACCGTACTTGAAGTGACACTTTGTATTGCATGAATCCATCATAGGGGCCACGAGAAAGTAGGTACAGAGGAAGGAGATGGAAACTGCATGGTGAACGGAGTGCTAAGTGATACAGCCAGCTTTCAAGGCTAATTTGGCACTGAAGAGTGCACTGTTGACTGCAAACATATATTCATAATAGTCCTTTAATTTGTCTCTTTTAGAAGGTCATACTTAATTCTTCATTGCTTTTACAAACACACTGAGCACACCTGTATTTAAAGCATTGCACTAAGAACATTCTTTAGCATGCAAGGTTACAATTTGATGTATTGAGTATATGTAGTTATACAATAATTTTAAATTTACTACATGGAAGTGTTTGCTTATATAATATATGCCTTCACCTTTTCCCAAGCTTATTGAGCATACAAAACAAATACAGCCCTTTTGTGCTTTAAATTACCAGTGAGCTGGTCCATAATGTCTGTTTGTCCAAAACAGCATTTATAATAGCCAAGAAAATGTTCCCAGTTTGCCATAGCAACTAAGATCTAGACAAATATTTTATTACTGTTTCTATCTTCTGTATCTTATGTGAAATAGAAAGAGGGGCCCTTTCCTTTTCATGTGAAATTATTTAAAAGGTAAATTTGTGTTGCTGTTGGAAGGAAAAAAATGAAGCAACCCTGAAGCAGCGCCTATGCTGATGGGTTGTTACAGTCATCCAGACTGATAGTCCTGTTTTAAAAGACTCTGTACATCTCAAATTTCAGTTTATTTTTAAGATTTATTTGCTTGAGAGAGAGAGAGAGGGCGAGCATGCAAGTGGGGGGAGGGGCAGGAGGGGAGGGGCTGAGTGGGAGAGGGAGAGAGAGAGTCTCAGGCAGACTCCCCACTGACTGTGGAGCCTGACGCGAGGCTCCGTCTCACGACCCTGAGATCATGACCTGAGCCGAAATCAAGAGTCCGACGCTTAACCAACTGAGCCACCCAGGCGCCCTTCAAATTTTAATTTCTTACATCAATGGCATGATGGTAGTCAGGCCTGTCGCCATAAATTTTTTTCTAAGAAACCACATCAGAAATCATGCCCAAGAAGCTCCTCAAATTTTGCTTGGTCTTGCTTTTCACAGCCCGTATGTGGATACACTTTTTGGTTTACCTGATATATTTGTTCTAGGCTGTGAATAAAGCATACTACATTTCCTTTCATTTAAAGAATTTTTTTAATTTTTTTTTTTTTTAAAGATTTTATTTATTTATTTGAGACAGAGAGAATGAGATACAGAGAGCATGAGAGGGAGGAGGGTCAGAGGGAGAAGCAGGCTCCCCGCCGAGCAGGGAGCCCAATGTGGGACTCGATCCCGGGACTCCAGGATCATGACCTGAGCTGAAGGCAGTCGCTTAACCAACTGAGCCACCCAGGCGCCCCGAGAATTTTTTTAATTTTTAGTTTTAATTTTATTGGCTGGAAGTTCTAGCAATGGCTGTTTCATAACAGCCTTTATTAATGTTTACAAATGTGTTACCCAAGCCTTCAGCTTTTCACACATGAAGAAACAATTCTGTTTTTATTTCCTCTTTAAACAAGTAAACTAAGGGTGGGCCTTGTACATTAAGTCTGCAGCCAGAGCAGACTTCTCACTGCGTGTCTTGGTTCACATCTGTTGGAAGTGAGCTGTTTTTCAGTTCTTTGTTTCCTTGACAATAAAAGAAAAGGCTATATTATTGAAACTCCTAACAGTAACTCCCTGGTTCAGTATTCTAGTTGAATGGGTACTGAAAAGATCCCCATAAAGCTGCTCTTGGTAATGGACCTGATTTCCTGTGAATGTTATCTGAAATAGGTATTATTTTAATTCCTTTTCCCGTTCAAGATCTGTTGTACAGATTTTTGAGGGTTCCTTATTGGATATATTTTGAAGAACATTGTAGTGATAAAAATGTTATGAAACGTTTAAAGGCCACATATCTATGCTTGTGTTCTTTCGCTAATTACATATATTTAGCAATATTACTTTATATTAAAGACATTTTTTGGTGTAGATCGAGAGGGTCTCTTCTAGTAGCACCTTTCTCATTGCTATAATTAGTGTAGTCAGACTCCAGGATTTAAGGTGTAGGAACAAATAATGGATCTGTCTCTGCATATGGCAGTAACTCTCCTTTATGATTTTCTCCAGTGTCACTATCCTCCTGCCCATCGCCCAGGGGTAGGGTTTGTGGTGATCTTTCTCTTCTCTGAATTCCTTTTGCACTTCAGCATATAAATGACTTATTTAACAACTAATTGCATAGTAATGATAGCATTTCTTGCTTAGCTCTCTGGGCCTCAGTTCTCCCACTGATAGAAATGAGAGGGTTGGTGCTCCATTCCTGTCCATCCTGCCTTCTCGGGATCTGACTGGGTTCTTCTACACTCTCTTTCCTCAGATATCTTCAGTTACTTTCCGTACTGGTTCTTTTCTGTTAGGTTTCTTGACTTGTTTTTCCCATTAAAAAAAACGGAAAATGTTCAACTCCTCAGAAAAACTGAAAGAAAACAATCTGATGAACACACATAAACCTTTTGCCTAGATTCACCAGTGGTCTGTCTTGCCACATTTATACCTGCTATCTATATACATAAATGCATAACTTTTTTTTCTGAACCATTTGAAAGTAAATTCCTGACATAACTTTTAACCCCTAAATATTTGAACATACATCTTCCAAGAATAAGGATGTTTAAATTCAAGTCTCCCTCATCTTAAAAAACAAAGTTACAAAAAAAGCACTTTTTGACCTCATGCCATTATTATCCATTTCCTTTCACCTTTTGGTTCATATTCACCTGTTTTGTTTTGTTTTTTTAAAGATTCATTCATTTATTTGAGAGAGAGAGTGCACACGATCGGGTATGGGGTGGGGGGATGGAGCAGAGGGAGAAGGAGAGAGAGTCTTAAGCAGACTCCATGCTGAGGGTGGATCCCGATGCAGGGCTCATTCTCACAACCCTGAGATCATGACCTGAGCCGAAATCGAGTTGGGTGGTTAACTGACTGAGCCCCCCAGGCACCTTGCATTCATCTGTTTTTGTAGTCAGACTTCTTAGTGTTCCACCTATTCTGTGTTGTCAGAGCTCTCACTAAAGTCATAAAGGACGACTTTATCACCATGTTACTGGGTGTTGTAGACGCTTAAACATTTAATATGTTGATGACCCCTTCTTCCTGAAATACCTTTTTTTGGAGTCTGTGCAACTGCAACGCTGTGAGGTCCCTTTTCATTCTCCATGGTGATCCCTCTTTGCTCATCTCTAAAGATCAGTGTTCCTCAGGGTCTGTCTTCTCGTGTGTACATTCCTGGCGTGATTTCATCTTATTTCTGTGTCTTTTGCTACCTTAGACCAGGGTCTCATTATTTCTATTCCTGATTACTTTCGCAGTCTCCTAACTTCCTGCTTTTAACCTTTTCCTCTTTCGTTGTAGTGATCTTGCTAAATGCAAATTGTATGATCATATTACTCCTTTGCTTAACTTTTTGGCTGGTTCCCCATTGGCCTTAGAATAGAATCCAGACTTCTAGTCCTGGCTTCCAAGACTCTGTGCTATGACTGTTGTCTGCCTCTTAGTTTCACTGCTCTCTTTTTTCCCAGTCCTGCCCTTCTGTGCAGTTCTTCAAAGGCATTATGCTTTTCATGCCAGAGTGTCTGAACACACTGCCTTCACCCAGTGTCTGTCAGTGTCCTTCCCACCTTCCTTGTCTCCAACTCCTCTTCAAAAACTCTTAACTTCAGCTGTCAGAGAATCTGGAAACTCTCATCTGGTTCTGCCATGCTATCTTTTGTGCTTCCATTCTATTAGAACGATGACACCATTGTGCTGTGTTTATCTGGGTGCATTCCTGTCTTCTCATTAGGATGGGTGGAGTGCAGCAGTGTCTTACAGATTTTAAGCCTCAGTGTCCGACAAAGTGACTAGCAGAGTACATATGTACTCATTAGAATGTATTGAAAGAGTGCATTTAGGTGACAGAGTATTGTTAAATTTTAACCTTGAAGTTGTTTAGAACACAATGTGGCTATATAATCAGTGGATCTGGACATTTGACTAGCTACTTGGTAGAGCAAATCATTTTATTCACTCACCTTTCACCATAGGCCCAGACACTTAATTAGAGGTAAGTTAAAATCAAGCTGTTAAGAAATTAGAAGAAAACAGGAACAAATACTTAATCTCGTTTCCAAAGAAAAAGAAATATTTTAAAGTTAAAAAATGATTCACAAAATTAAAATGGAATAAGAAAAATATGAAAACTTAATTTGAAAAAAGCCCTTTTTCAAAAAACTGAAACATTTGAAAAAGAGATTAAGTCATTAGGCCAAGTCACTGGGCCAAGGTTATGTAGATAGTGCCAGACCTGGGATTAGATGGTACATTTATTTACACACACACACACCAGTTCTGTGCTTTTTTCTGCTATTTAAGAAAGAGCCAAAACTTGCTAATTTTCTCCAGGTTATAGATACAGTCCATTTAGGATCCATATTGTAACTGAATTTACTTTCATTTATTCCCAACATTCCCAGTCTGTTCCTTCCTCAGCCTGCCCCTTCTCTGTAAATGCCATAAACCAACATTTGGCTGCTCAAGCCAGGAAACTGAGAGTCACCCTTGATTTCTCTCTCACTTCTGCCCATTTTTCTCATGCTTTCCCATGCTTACTGCCACCATCCTCGTCCAGGCCACCACTGTTCTCTTTGTAATACCACAGTAGATTCTGTGTGCTTATGTGTGTAGTTTTTAAAGTAGAGATAAAATTTACGTAACATAAAATCTACCATCTTGACCATTATTTTGCCTTCCCAGCACAGTGTATGGGTGTCCGATTTCTCTACATCCTTGCCAGCACTCCACAGTAGACTCTTTACTCATCTCCTGGTTTCTACTCTCCAGTCTGTTCTCTGCATAGCAGCCAGAGTGGTCATTTTAAAATTTAAGACAAAATATATCATAAACACATACAACTCAAGGGCACCATTTAAGTTGGAGTTGAGGAGTCTCGTTCACACTAACTGTTGTTGGGGTGTTTTGTGGTGCAGCTAATGGCTTCCCATCTGTGTTTGTCTGACCTCCGTAACCTATCACTGTGCTCCAGCCATGCTGGACCTCTTCTTTTTATCTGCCTAGTACTTGCCCATCTCAGGCATTCAGCACTAATGCTGTCTTCTGCTTAGAATACTTTTTTGCTTGGCTGATTCCTTCTAATCATTTGCTTTCAGCCTGTCCTCTCCATAAGGGAAAGGGATAGGGCAACCATACTATCTAAAGTGTTTCTACCTTTTTTCTCCTCCCTACTCCCAATCATCTGTAAGCTCAGTGAAAACAGAGACCATGAATGTCTCATTCATATCGCTTCTCTGTTTGCTAACACTGAAGTCAGAATGTAATAGGTGCTTAATACTTGTTTGAAATGAAGGAGTGAATACTATTTGTTAACTAGGTATTTTTAGAGTATATGTATGCAGTAGCAGGCTTTACCATGGTAAGAGATAGTTGCAGGCAGAAATCAATGAATATGGTGGTGATTGTACTAACCGTGAGCATCCCTTTATAAGATGATTTTGGTAAATGAGTTGCAATAGAAATTTCTGGAGAGGAAAAGAAGTGTCAATGTACTATGGATTCTAGGAAGGGCAAGAGGGAAGGAGCCCTCTTTTTTTCTTCATTTGGCTTTGCAGAATAAATGCTGTTGTTGTTCTTTTAGAACCTGCTGGATAGAGGAATCATGTACCAGAAGTCTTAGTGTCTGGTTCCTACTTTCCATGGCTCCTGATTTAAATGCTCTGGAGCACAGTTGGGGAGGGGGCAGTGCTAAGTGGCCTAAGAAAAGGGTGCAGGAGTACTGAGCTTAGGTTAAACTTGGTTGTTCAGAAAACATACATTATAGATAACCTGCTAGATACGTGTAACAGCTCCTACTCTGATACATGTATGCTCTGATAATAAGAAACTGAGCTATTTCAGATACTCTGGTGGTTACAGGTGTGGGTTCAGTATGGGAAGTTTAGTAACAAGCTGACTCAGATTCTTTGCTGTCCCCTTGCTTTTATGCGGTTGTGTGCTCTCATTCTTATAGCAAATGGCAAATCAATTTAATATCTCAGAGGTGTTTAGAGCAGTGGCAGACCTCTGGCTTTAAAGTATGACATGTCAGTATATTTACATTTCAGCAACCATTTGGGGAAGAATCTACAGTTGCTGATGGACAGAGTGGATGAAATGAGCCAAGATATAGTTAAATATAACACGTACATGAGGAACACGAGTAAACAGCAGCAGCAGAAACATCAGGTTGGTGTTACGGGAAAATCCGACATACACGGGATTCATTTCTTTTTTTTTTTTTTAAAGATTTTATTTATTTATTGAGAGAGAGAGAATGATAGAGAGCATGAGAGGGAGGAGGGTCAGAGGGAGAAGCAGACTCCCTGCCGAGCAGGGAGCCCGATGCGGGACTCGATCCCGGGACTCCAGGATCATGACCTGAGCCGAAGGCAGTCGCTTAACCAACTGAGCCACCCAGGCACCAAGATTTTATTTATTTATTTGAGAGAGAGAGAGAGCATGCACATTAGCAGGGGGAGCAGCAGACTCCCCACTGAGCAGGGAGCGTGATGCAGGATTCAATCCCAGGACCCTGAGATCGCGACCTGAGCCGAAGGCAGTCGCTTAACCGACTGAGCCACCCAGGCACCCCTGGTTTTACCAGGTTTTTTTTTTTTTTTTTTAAGATTTTATTTATTTATCTGAGAGAGAGAATGGGAGACAGAGAGCATGAGAGGGGAAGGGTCAGGGGGAGAAGCAGACTCCCCGCCGAGCAGGGAGCCCGATGCGGGACTTGATCCTGGGACTCCAGGATCATGACCTGAGCCGAAGGCAGTCGCCCAACCAACTGAGCCACCCAGGCGCCCGGGATTCATTTCTAAGTGTGGTGCTTCAGAGTGATCAAAATCATACTTGATAAAGCGTTAACTATTAGCTAGTAGCGATCATATTTATTACCACACACTGTTTCTAAGTTGTACTTAAACATACCTGTTTTAAAGAGAGCTGGTATATTAAGCTCAGATCACGATGGCAGTGTTATGCAAATAAGAGAGACATTTATTGAGAAAGTCAGAGGCAATGAGATTCTGGAGCCTCACAGCTCATTTCTTTACTAACTGTAATTGGTTTGGTAGTGGCTCCTTGCAGCATAGTTAGCGATCTTCCGTTCATTTGAAAAACTGAGCAGTTGTGATTAAGAGCAAGCAGTTTTGATAGGAAATAATAGACCAACTGCTGTGAAATAGTATAATACAGATAAAAACCCTAGAGCTACCTGAATATTCTCATATGCACATATATACTGCTATGGCCATTTAACCTTTTCTTTTTTCATGTTGCTTGAAGGCCACATGATTTTCACAGTTCCTGGAATATTGTTTTTGGACTGTATTGCTCTGAAGTATTCTTACAACATTTGATTCATAGATAAGTTGATTCCAGAATGTTTACCTGTGAAAGCATTTGTATGACTACCGTGTGTTCATTAAAATGTACTTTAAACTTGGTGGTGTTAACTCAGCACAACTACAACTTAGGTGGCTCTGAGAATATTTAAAAAAATTTTTTTAATATCAATGTTCATATATAGTGAAATTTAAAATACTTTGTTTCTACTGTACTTAGAATTTAAAAAACACATATAAATCTGTAAAGTATATACTTTTTAACTGAAAAGAGGATGGTTGGTTAAAGATGGCAGTAGTGAAAAACTTCTAAAGGGTGGCGGTGGGGGGAAGGACAGAAAAACCTCGCTTGATTCCATTCTCCTGCTGGTTCTTCCCATAGGGAAAGGATGCAACCTGGAGTATCAAATTGAAAATCTGTCAACTCAGAGACAGTTGATTCTGGAAACTAGTCTTACAGTCATTTTCCAGAATTCCAGCATGTCTTAAAATTTTGCATTTGATGTTTATTTGTACCAGCACCATTCACAACCCTTTTTAAATTTGTCTGGCTTCTACCCTCAAACCCTATAATGAGTATAGAAATCTTTGCAAAAAGCAAGGTACTTCCCTTCTTTAGGAACCCAAGAACTTAAATTTTTTACTAGCCCACCTTGGTTTCTCATTACCTCACCTTTTAAGGCTCTGTGTGGGATATTTTCCCTCTGCCATTGTAAGCACCCCATAAGTATTACCTCTTGATTGTAATTGGCTCAGTAAGTTTGTAGTTGATCCATACCTTTAGATGTATCCCCGCCTTCTCTTCTGAGAATCCTAGGAGTCCATAGTTTGACAGGTTTTTTTTTTTCAGTGTTTTTTTTTTTTTAAAGATTTTATTTATTTATTTGACAGAGAGATAGAACAAGTAGGCAGAGAGGCAGGCAGAGGGAGAGGGAGAAGCAGGCTCCCCGCTGAGCAGGGAGCCTGATGCGGGGCTCGATCCCGGGACCCTGGGATCACGACCTGAGCTGAAGGCAGCCGCTTGACCGACTGAGCCACCCAGGCGCCCCTAGTTTGACAGTTTTTGAGCATTTCCTAAGCTAATGTTCATTCTTAGCTATAGAGCTAAAAGCACAGCTGATTAGTAGAAGTATTTACTAGTATAATAATAATAATGATAGTGATGATGATGATGTTATAGTTATCACCATCATCAGTATTATTGTTTTGGTCGGTAAGGATAAAGTTGAAAAAATTCCCCCATGTGGTGGTTAATTACTTCATTATTACAGTTAAGGTAAGTCATACTTCTAATGCTGTCATCTACTCCATTGTCATAAATGGTAAAATCACTCCACTCACTAATCATGAGCTTCTTTGCCTTTTAAGCCCCCAGTTTCCCACATAACCAGTTTGCTTTTTCGATATCATTAGTTAATAGACTCTTAGAGCCCAAAGTGACACTAGAGTTTCCAACAAAGGAATTTTCTTTGTTGCCATATTTATTAGCTTCTTAGAAGGAGGAGTTACCATGGGTTACCATTTATAAAACTGAGGTTGGAATTCAGGGCAGTGGGGTTTTGCTGATTGCATAATTGATGGAGGTCTTTTTTTTTTTTTTTTCTCCTCAGAGAAAAATAACCAAATCATTTCTTCTCTGAATTTTAGTATCAGCAGCGTCGCCAGCAGGAGAATATGCAGCGCCAGAGTCGAGGAGAACCCCCACTACCTGAGGAGGATCTGTCCAAACTTTTCAAACCTCCTCAGCCTCCTGCCAGGATGGATTCTCTGCTCATTGCAGGTATTGTTGGCCAGTGCAAACATGGCTAGTTTTCTCTTTTCCTTAGGAAGCAGAAGACAAGGAGAGATTTATAAACAGAAAAATATATCATAAAACCTAGTGTATTTAAAATGGTTGAATGATGAATTTGAATTTAGCACCTATAATTTCTGAAATTTAAGAATTTGTCAGTCTTTGTTATTTCTAAGGTCCTTTCAGTGCTTCTTCACTCTATGTTTAGCTAAACATTTTTGAGATGGCATTATAAACTTTCTAAAGTGGAAAGGTTTTATTTGAGTCATCTTTCATAGAAACCAAGGAAAAATATTTACGTTCCATAACGCAGAAGATCATTCAGCTCAAGCTGCTTACTTTTCATGTTCCAGCCCAGCACTGAACCCACGTCTGTAGGTGGGTGTTTGAATTGAATTGGATTTTCTGACTGGAGGAAAAGGATTTCCCTTACTTTGACTTACATTGTAGCAATAGGAATGCAGTTCTGGTTGTACTTTGGGAGTATCTACCATTTAACACTATTTTTTAGTGGTGGGGTCTTGTGTCCTATGCTAGGACTTGATTTTGCTCTTATTTAGCTGTGATAACCTTATTTCTGTATAAATGTTGCTAAATACTGTTTGATTCATTCAGCCGGTTGTCCGTGAGAGATTTTTTTAGAGTGAAAACCCCACTCAAAAAAAAGCTAATACTCTACAATTTCTCAGTTCCATTTATACATTTTCAGTGTGTGTGTGTGTGTGTGTGTTGGGGGGGGTCAGATTCCAAATTCTTAAAACCTTCTAGAACACACATAAATTTGGGAAACCGAGACACATTCCAATTCAAACAGACTTGTATTATATATATATAAAATACCTTGCATAAATGTTGCATCAGATTAGATCATTAGTTTTAAGACTTAAAGAGCAGCGATGGACCCCTGTCTTGGTGGGGACGCTCTGCTTCTGCTCTGTCTTGGGCCAGAAAAGGAACCCTTAATATTTCTAGAGCACAGCCTGAAAACTACTGTACTGTGCACATCTGGGTCAGGTGGTCCATTTTGTTTGCAGTTCTGTGATTTGGTAGCTGCTTTGTGCCTGGCTGAGGAGAGCCAGTGTTGTTTTCTCACTTGTGTTAGTACAGTGTGCGTCCAAGCCCCAAGGTCAGGAAGATAGCTTATTTTCAAAAGAATTTACATTCTGTATTACAAGGATATGGACAAACAGAATTGGTTCCTATAAACTCTTGATTGAGAACAAAACAAAATAAAATTCTGGTGATTATGTATTCTGATTTTCTTGCTTGCCTAGTGTGCTAGGTCATTTTATAATTTGTGGAACATTGTGACTCTCTTTCTCACTTTCCCAAATGCACAGGCCAGATTAACACTTACTGCCAGAACATCAAGGAGTTCACTGCCCAAAACTTAGGCAAACTCTTCATGGCCCAGGCTCTTCAGGAATACAACAACTGAGAAAAGGAAGCTTCCAGAAAAGGCGTTTTAACATGGACTCTTGAGATCACATTGGGGCAATTCTTGGAAGAAATACACTTGCCTAGTGAAAAGTCTTTCTAGCTAATAATAAAGTAAAAATAAAACAACCTTGACTGCTTGCTCATTTGATTTTACACATATTATATCTAGCTTTTTATTTTTGTTTTGCTTACACTATTTATCTCCGAAAGATTAAACGGATTCGACCAGAAGCTACATGGGAGCCCAGACCTCCAGGCTCCGTCGTCTTTGCTGCTCCGTGTGAGGTGCCACATTTCAACATGCAGTCCAATGCTGCTTGTCCGGACCCCTGACCTAGCAGCCCTGGTACCTACTGGGAATTCTTTACTTCGTTGCTCCCAAATTAGTGCCCTGGAAGCCCAGGCACCCTCATACCTAGGCCTGGAATCGCACGGCATGCTTCTTGTCGGTCTGCCTTTTCGTTTCCACCGGTGAATGTCAACCAGTCCCCATGCTCGTAGGTCATTAATCAGGCACTAGAATTTTTTTTAAAAAATTTCATCAAGAAAGCCATCCATATTTTGTATGAAAATGAAATTCATTCTGTGTCTATTTTTTTATTTAGGACTTCTTACTTATCTTTTCCATACAATGAAATACAATTCTGCTGACATTATGTTTCATAAGTGGGGAAAGAAGAATTGGAAGAACAGTACTACATTGAGGAGAGAAAAAAACTTTTTAATTTCATATTTGAAAGACAGTCAAGGGGCTCCTGGGTGGCTCAGTTGGTTAACCGTCTGCCTTTGGCTCAGGTCTTGATCCCGGGGTCCTGGGATCGAGCCCTGTGTCTGTCTCCCTGCTTAGCGGGGAGTCTGCTTTTCCGTCTCCCTCTGTCTCTCCCCCTGCTTGTGTTCTCTGTCTTGCTGTCTCAATTAAATAAAATCTTAAAAAAAAAAAAAAAAAGATAATCAAAAGTCCTGCTATTTGTAACACCAAAGTCAGTGAGATCTACAGCTGTGGATTGTGCCTGTGAGACTTCTATTTCGTGACTTTCACCTTGAAGACATGGCCCATAGGAAGATCAGAAAGAATGGGTAAGGGGTAAGGAGAGTTGAGAAATCCTTTTTCTCCCCCCTCCGCCCCCCACAACATTGTTTTGGAGGTACCACTGGGGCTCTGGGATCAGGCAGCTGGATTGAAACCTGACTCTTTTCCTTCTAGGGTATCCTTAAACTAGTTGCTTAACCTCCCTCTGCTTCACTTACCTCATCCAAATGAGATGAGGAAAGGGGACAAGTGTAATACCCTATAGGGTGGGTGTGAGTGTTGAAGTTTATTGAAGAGTGGGGTAAAGCACCTAGAATAGTGGTTGGTATGTAGCAGATGCTCAGTACTTACCTGATGAGCGCTACACTAAGTTCTTATTCAGGATATTAGGTTGTTAGCAGGGTTTTGCTTTTAAAAAGCTATGGCCTTTGACCATTCTAGAATTCAGGTACTTGCTCACATGAATTAATTTTTCTAGGATAAACTCCTAGAAATGGACTTAGTGGTCAAAGAGTATATAAAGTTCTAAGGCTTTTTACCTGTATTGCCAAATTGCCTTCAAGAAAGGTTATACTGAGGGCGCCTGGGTGGCTCAGATGGTTAAGCGTCTGCCTTCGGCTCAGGTCATGATCTCAGGGTCCTGGGATCGAGTGCCGCATCGGGCTCCCTGCTCCTTAGGAGCCTGCTTCTCTCTCTGCCTTTCTCTCTCGCTCGCTCATGAATAAAAAAAAAAATCTTTCCAAAAAAAAAAAGGTTATACTGATTTGCAGTCCCACCCATGGGGCTTGCTTATTTGAGTCCACACACATTTGAGTGTGACTGTGTTACATAGATGAGATGTATTGATAAACAAAGCCGGTCATGTTCTCTGTCCTTGTGGATTGTATACTCTGTTGGTTTATTTCCTTGCATTCTAATTGCCTACATTTGGAATTCTATTGTGAGTTAAACAAAACACCCTTGAAGTATCAAAGAGTAAAATAAAAGGAAAATCAGTTGAAACATAATTACTGTTTTCCTCATGGTGTAAGATTAACAGGATTCAATTATATTTTTTAAAATGTGGTTATTTACTAAATTCCATATGACTGTTTAGATACCCATAACTCAGAGTAATATGCGAGTGCACATTTGAAGATTTCAGGAGTTTTGGGGTTAGGAATTACTGTAGTGGGAAAAACTGTTTAGGGAAACATGTCAATGGAAATTAAATCTGCATAGTATGTAGTGTTAGGGAATAGCTTCTGTTCGCATTTGATTTGAGTGCTATATCCTGACATTTTTCAGGAACAGATATGTATGGTTCATCTTCTATAAATATTTGCAGTTTCTTCAAGTTGAAATGAGAAAAGCTCATAAACTGAGTACCAGGTCTAATAAATCATTCACTTACCCAAGAACAAAAACACAGAAAAAGCCTAGCATATTAATCTAATGGAAAATTAAATATGACAAACTGAAACAGTAAAACATATTTGAAGTTGACTCCATGATCATTGATAATGCTTGATAAGGTTCTAGAAGACATAGCATTATTCTTAATTGAAAATACCTGAGAGAATGAATCTTCAGACTGCCCCAGATAACCTGATTTTTAAAATACTGAGGTAAACTAAAAGTTTTTTCTCCATTTTTGGAAGCTTGGAAATTGAGATGTGGTTATCTAATGCTAACTTAATTATTTTGAAATTTCAAATTTTAGTGTCTTCTAAAGTGTTTCTACATTGTTCGCACTGTATTTTTTAACATTCTTTGGAAAACCTAAGTGAAATCTTCATTTTCAAACCATGCTGGCATTGAACTCTGGTGTGTTATGAAAGAATCGTTTTGAGTTTTAAACTCCATTTTTATAGTAAACATTTCTCATTCATATTAAATATATACCATTTACCAATTTTTCCCTTAATCTTCTCATTGGGCATCTTCTTCTGTGATAGTCCTATCATAGAAATGGGACAAGGGTATTTAGAGAGGTAATACTAAACTGGGGTCAAGCCAAATGCCTATAGGGCTTATTTTAGCAAATGACTCAAGTGCCCATCTGCAGAGAGCCTGATCAAGTCGTCAGTGCCTTGGACAGTGCTTTGGTCTATCTCAACAGAGGTCTATCTCCCTTCTGTTGGGACAGCAGTTAGTAGATAAATAATGAGGGGAAGGATGAAGATCCCGAGTCTCTTAGATGTTTACAAAGATGAGAGAAAAGCAGTGGGTGGTTTCTGCATCCCATAGCCAAGACTGTGCAGTGGAGGAGTTAAAGCTAGCTTACCGTGTGGTGACTTTTCCAATTAGAGTCTGCACCTTTTTGCATGGATTGGAACAGGGACAGGGATTGATCTGTCTCCAGATTACTTGAGACAGGGAGGGAGGGGCTGGGGAGCCAGAGCTACTGGGAAATTATAGTTTGCTGGAGCAAACAGCTGTGGCCTAATACCCATTCCCTTGAGTTTCCTTTTTATGTAGGAAAAAAAAGACTCTAATGTACCTTAAGCCTGGTTGGCCCTATAGTAGAACCCATAATGGCTATACCAAAGCCTCGATAGTGATTTTAGGGATAAAACCCACAGATACAGAAATGGTTTTCAAGAGCCACCACCCCCTGCTTGGGGAGTTTGGGCCAATCCTTAGGGGTTTGGTCTATCCCAGACAATTCTTCGATTACCTGTAGTCTTGTTCTCGGAGGCTGTTAGGCCCTCATATCAATTGTCATATGATCAGTTTATTAGAGTCACAATTTGATTCCACAGGATTGATGTTGCATTTCCTTACAACTGTGAGTTAGGCAACCCATTTTCAGTTCTTTGATTGAAAAGATTGGATGTAGCCTCAGAGTCTTATTAAGTATTCCCTGGAACCTTCATGAAGTGAGGGGATAGTAGATGGGTTACTGAATCCGTGCGTATAGTAGGACTTGCTGGAAGCCCCTTTCAATAGGTTGCAGATACATCTTTAGTCTTCTTTCTACGTGTGTCTTCCTTTCAGAAAAAAACTATAAAAAAATCCTCATCCACTGATGTTATACTATAAAGAAAGGTAAAAATGACTTTCTCTTCTTTTAATCCCCAAATTACTGTTTTTACATTTGGACAAAAGTGAAGGACTCTACTACTTCATCAGACCTGTAACAATAGAGGGTGGCCCATTCTCCTTATTTAAAGTTGAGTTGATTGCAGTAGGAAAATATTGCTTCTGGCATTGTGTCAACCTCAAGACATAAACTCAGGTGTCACTTCCATTTCCTTCAGTAATATTTTTTTTCATTGACCTTTCTCCAGGGCACAGTCATTTCTGGCATCTTCCATCTTCCTTTGTGGATATGGAGGCAAAGGATTTGTTTAACTTTTCAGCAGTGTTTACCGCTTCTGACGGTAAATGGTCCTTGCCTTTTCTTCTTGGACCATAGTCTCTCTTGCCAATGTTTTACTTTGTATGTATTGGAAACAGCTCTTATTTTGTCAGATCCCCCGAGTAATCTTTCCCCACCTTTGTTTATCTTGTCATTTGGCTTTCACTTGCTTAACTCATTCCTAGATTCAATCTGCCTGTGATTTTTTTTAGTTTTGATTGTTGCCCTTCTCCAGTTTGAGGTTTTTAAATTGCATTTTACTTTTTTTAAATAGTCACAAAGATTTTAATTTTTCCTTGATCTGATCATGCATCTCTGAATGTCATAATTCTCCAATCAGGCAGGCAAGTGTCCCAGTAACCTCATCTCCTAGATCACAATGGTGAGGGTCTATTTTTCTCTTTGATGTGTGTGCAGCCCCCATTATTGCTAATGAAAGGTCTTCATGTGCATTAAGGGGAAACTAGACCTCTAATGAGATACAGAGAGGAATTGCAGCTGATGATTTCCACTTCTAGCCCACTGTACTATAACAGAAATGTACTCTCAGGAGGCAATGGGCCAAAGAAATACAAAATGCATGTGCTGCCTACATAAAATATCTAGTCTGGTCTTAATGGCCGGGTGGTATTGCTTTGGCTTATAGTCTCTGGTATTCCATACCTGCTGAGGGGGACCTTTATTATGGAGGTGAAAGACCCAGATCCTGGAAGAAAGTGAATAGACTAGTTACATTGCATTTGAATCAGCTTTTAAGAATGATCTACGTTAATATTTTATATATTAACAAAGTACTTGCTCATATAGTTTCTCATTTAGAATGGGAAAGGAGGACAAATGCATTATGAAACCAACGTGCTTGGTACTAAGAATACTAAGGGAGTGAGAAACATGTTAATTCCTGCTCAAAGATGATGAAACCAGACTTCAAAACAGTGATTGATTAAAGCAAACCTATTCATAGGTGGCAGGATCAGGACTGGAGCTCAGGTCTTGAGTCCTCTTACCAGGACTTGGCACAACTTCTCAACACAGCACGAGGAAAATAGTTCTTATTTCAACACAGATTCCCGTTCATCTTGTATCTTCCCCTCTGTGGTGAACCACTCTCTCCCCTCCCCCACCAATTTCAAGGAACTGCTTCACCCTTTCATTGCAGTGATTCACTGCAACCTCCCTACGCTCTACGTGTTGTGTTTATCATTGGACCCTTTTCTGATTGATGTACAAGAAGTGAGATTCATGGGTTCTAGTGTCCATTCAGGCTCATTTCTTGAGTAGAGAACTTCTCATAACCATTTGTGATACAGGGCTGAGTAGCACAGCGGAGTGCAGGGGAAGAAGCAGAGAGGTACAAAAATGAAAGCATGCCTGCAGGTTCTTAACACCTGGATTTTCTGTTTCTAGTCCCTTTCTGTCCCTGTTTGTGTTCCTGCCCCTAGGTCTCATAAAAGCATATTTGAATCTTCTTAATAACACTGCCCTTTTATTTTCTTCACCTTTGAGTTGGTTTCTGTTGCTTTCAACCTCAAAAATACCTAACCGAACTCCTGTATATGCCAAGGTTTATTTGCTATGAGACCTAACAGATTTGAGAAGGTGCAGCCTTAAGAGGTAATAGGAGAATAAAAGTTACCTTGCAAATATTTTAATAGAATTTTAGAGCAGGAGGGGACCTAGCCTGATCTCTTGGCCACCACAAACCTCCCATTCACAGATGTGGAAACAGGCTCCAAGAGTATTAAATATTGTTTCCAGAATAGCCTAGATTGTTCACTCTTTTTTCATATTATTCTGTCTCAGTATTTTTTTCTTTTTCTTGATTTGATATTTGTATGTATTGCTAAATGATCAAAATGAGTAAGTCTCGTTAACATTTGTCACCATACATAGTTAGAAAAATTTTTTTCTTATGGTGAAGACTTTTAAGATCTATTCTCTCAGCATCTTTGAAATAGCAATTTAGTGTGAACTTACAGCCACCGTGCTGTACATGACATTCCTGTGACTTATAACTGGAAGTTTGTACCTTTTGACCCTTTATACACCCATTTCGCTCACCCTGCACCCCCCCGTCAGCATTTCGTAAAGAGCTCAAATGCTGCCCAGTATACACTGAATCTTTCCGATAGGAAATTGCCCTCTCATGCACTGGAGTTGATGAGTGTTTCTGCAGCGTTTGGAGCACAAAGGTTGCACATTCTCAAGAAGGAGGTGTAGGGGCTGATTAAATTAACCTCTTGGATATCTGGGTCACCTCGACTGTTCCATCTGGGAAGTGGATGGAAGAGGTGAGTTTTTGCTGCTTTGCTGGAGATTGGTGGTGTAAACAGGTGGTGGGGTAGTCTAAATTTGGTCTGAGATGAAAACATTTTCAAGCAAATGAAACTAAGCTAGATTCTTTTGACAGTAAAGTGTTTAGAGATGCAGACGTCAGTTTTATTAAAGTACAAAGCAGCATTGCAAAAAAAATAGTTGAGGGTGTGTGTGTGTGTGTGTGTGTGTGTGTGTGTAAGAGCTACTCCTAACAAAACACTTTGGAAAAGTGTAACTCACGTTTGCCCTCACCTTTTGAACTTAAGATGAAATGATGTGTGGAGTCCATTCCCTCCCACTCCCAAACTTAGGGAAGGAGGGAAGCTAGAGCAATTTGTTAGGAACAAAGACATTTGCATTTGTGATGTTCACGTCATTCTGTTCATGCTTCTGTGAATTCACAAATGCACGGAATTCAGAAATCATCTGGGGTAGGAGAGGGAGAAAGGGAAGGTGTTGATTTTGTATTTTCATGAAGCCCTGATGTGGCAAATCTCAGATGACAATCTCTCCTCTTGTTTCAACGGACTGTAGCAGTCGTGGGGAGCTCTGCTGAAAGTGATTAGAGGCTGGCCATGCAAATCCTCCATGGATTCTGAATAAATTCAGTGTTAGCAGGAAATCATTGCTCCCGATTTAAAGCCCACTTGGACAAAACGATAATTTTCTCCTGATGCTTTCATGTACTAGACACTTGCCTCTCATTACTTCTCAGAAGAAAAGTCAACCAACCTGCCAGCCAACCAATAAGATGGCATTTTTCCTTAAAGAGAATCGAGTGGTGCTTACCCTGTCAGTTTAGCACTTTTGAGGCTCTCTTTATGTCTAAATGAGCAGCTGGGTTTTAGCTCTGCAAGTGGAGCATCATTGTGGATGAAACTAGAATCATAGACTTAATACTTTAAAAATGGTGATCATCATGGGTTTTCCCTTGTACTGTATTAATGTTAGAGTAGCTTCTGGGGTTCATTCAGACAAATGTGCCAGATTCCGTTCAGCACTGGGACTGATAGGGTAGTACGCATCCTGACCCACAGGGGGCTTACCCAAGACAAGTGGTTCTCTAGGTGTGGCACCCAGAGCTTGTCCAAAATGTACATCCTCAGGCCTCAAACCTGCACTTTAGCAGCCACCCTGGGTGATGCTCATGCTTGCTGGAGTTTGCTCTGGAACTGGTTCCTGCATCTGGCTCCGTGTCTTAATGCCTGGAGAGTTTTTTAAAAAGTCAGGTCTTGAAATAAGGCCTGGGAATCTGTTTGTTTGTTTTTCTGTTTTGTTTTTTAAGTTTTCTGTTTTCCTGTTTTGTTTTTTAAGTTGCCAGAGATGATTTGGGGGGAGACATTGCAATGAAGTAGAGAGTAGCCACTTCTATTAGAAGTGAAGAGTAATAGTTAGACCAGGTCATGGGGAAGGAAGGGAACTCGAGCAGAAAGAACTCAGGCCTGAGGGGGAGGAGACAAAGGCTGGAAGGAGTCACAGGTCTGGAGACTTGTGTGCCGTGCCTGGGGGCCTTCTCTTGGAGTCACCAGCAGTTGAAACCAGGTGTACAAGGAGCTTGATAAAATAGCAGGGCTTCGTTTATCCGCCAGTGATCCCAGGAGCCACCTGCAAGCAGCCGCATCATGTACTACAGCAAGAAGGACAGCAAGCGTGGGCCACTCCACAGCCTGGCGCCCAAAAAAGCCGCAGTGACATGAAATCTGTGTTGACTCTCGGCAGTGGGAGGGAAAGGCACTGTGACAGTCTGCCTCCCATGTTCACCCTCGGCTTCCCCTAATTAGGGTCAAGGACCCAGATTTTTTTCAAAAGCAAACAAAGAAAACAAGATTTGGATAGGTATTAATTATTATTTTTTTTTTTTAGCAAAAATGTAATTGTTAGACCCAAGGCCTGTATTTTATGATGAAAAGCGTGTTGATGTTGGAAAAAGAAATAATCACACTGTTCTCTGCCTTTGTATTCAGTCAAAAATCACATGCAATTCTGTTTGAACTGATATCGCCAAAATATGACCCATTTAATCTTGGGAGAAATTTCTTGGGTATCTGAGCACCATTGCTAGTATACACCAGAGCATGCAAAATATTCAACATTCAGTGAAGGGATTTCTTCTTCTTCTTCCTTTTTTTTTTTTTAAGATTTTTATTTATTTATTTGACAGAGAGACACAGCGAGAGAGGGAACACAAGCAGGGGGAGTGGGAGAGGGAGAAGCAGGCTTCCCGCGGAGCAGGGAGCCCGATGTGAGGCTCGATCCCAGGACCCCGGGATCACGACCTGAGCTGAAGGCAGCCACTCAACCGACTGAGCTACCCAGGCTCCCCTGTGAAGGGATTTCTTGAGCACCTTTACAAAAATGGCAGGAGAAGTGCATTTTTAGCAAACTGCAAAGTCTCAGCCTAAGAGCCTATTCAGAATGGAGGCTTCATGGACCACCTGGGGAAAAGCACAGCCACATACCTGGAGGCAATTGAAACAAATCATTGGAGACATTAAAAATAGAGTTTTCTTTCTTGCTGCCAATATCCCTTTCTTCCTCTCTACAACTTTTTTTGGTAGTCTTCTCCGAAACTTTTTTTTTTTTTTAAGGAGCATATAGATATTTAGATTTAATTTGTTACAGCTTGCATTTAAAACTCTGGAAAAATGAGAAATAATTGGAAGATAACAGTAGCAGCTGCCTAACCAGTTGTTTCAAAATATGGCAATAAAATATTAAAATTGAGAGTTGCTATTTTTGTGCATGGATGTCTGTCATTGGTTATGATAGATTTCTAACCTCCCTACCAAGTTAATATTTTAGGAGGGGGTAGGGGAGGATGCTTAATGTAAGTTATGGACTTAAATATTATTCCTGGACAAAATTTGTAATAAATGAGGCCCCGACTGTAAACTTTACATATACTAGCAATTATTCTCTTTTAAAAAGTCAGGGGAAAACAGCCAAGTACATTGTTTAATTGACCTGGACTAAAAGGCAGCCTCGGATTTTGGATACTACCTTTGGAAAAAAGCCCGCGACTGATACAGCACATAAATCCTAAGAACTTGGACTTAGAGGGAGAGTGAGCAGCAGTTCTGATGGAAGATGCAGTTTATTTGCATTACAAATGGGAGGTATGGGATGGTTAAAGTGTATTAAATGAACATCCAACACCACACAAGGATGGAGTTTCATTATTCCTGTAAATGGAATTAGCCTGCAGCAACAGCATGGACTATTCAGGTTATTTTAGTGAAAATGGAGTTCCATTTGCCCATGGAGCAAGGTACAGTGTGTCTTAAATTGGGCATGCCTAAAGGCAGTTGTATAGGCATTCTGAGTGGGGGGTGGGGGGGCAGGAGATAGTGGCATTCAGGGTAAGGGGGACCACAGCGCCTATGAAATGTTGCAGCCTCTCAGATGGGGATAGAGGGACTGGGGGTGTTTCTCTAATGTGTCCCAAGGAAGACTAGTTTTGTGGGATACTTATAGGTGCTACGTGGGGAGGAAATCCCAAGAACTTTTCCGGTCACATCAACTTGGGAAAAGCTTGCTTAAACAGCATTAGATTGGGTTCTTCAGGATTTGCACAACTTGTAATACAAAAAGTGAAGTGTGAATTTTCAAGAAGCAACAGTATAGCTCCTGGCTGCCCTAGGCACAGAGCCAGTTAGCATCTGAGTGAGTGCTTTCACTTAACTCTGATGATGTTTTCCTATCTTCAAAATGGAAATTGCTAGGATTTGACCAACAAAAATGGCAATTTCACCTGATTCAGCCCAGTTCTGTTAGCACACTATGTATGTGTATAGTGATGCCCAGCTCATAATGATTGTTGGGAGAATTTCACAGGGTGACGGGTGTAAAGCTCTTCACACTCACAGTAGCAAGCATTCATGGACTGGTGTTGTGTGGACTATGCGACCAAAACAATGTAACCAACCAGCCCTTGTCTCGAGCAGTAGCTCCAAGGAGGGCTATGGATTCCAGGGAAGGTTGCTAGAGAGCTGGGGTCAGCATGCTTTCTATAAAGAGCCACATAGTAAATATTTTAGGCTTTGTGGGCCAGAAAGTCTCTATGGCAACGACTCAGCTCTGCTGTTTTAGTGGGAAAATAGCCACAGATCATATGTAAGAAGATGGGTGTGGCTGTGTTCCAGTAAAACTTTATAAAACTCATGTGATGGTCTGTATTTGCACCCCCCCCCCACCCCCGCTATAGTCCTTCTGACCCTTACTTTAGGCAAAGGAAAGCAGTGAATTGTAAAGATAAGATTGAATTGGATGTTTGGAGACCTAGATTTTGTTTCCAGATCTGCCACTGCCTGTCAAGTTGACTTCTTTGAGCCTTACCCGGTTTATCAAGTGACTGTATTTTCTGCCCTAATAAAGTCATAAACTAAGGACAGCATAGAAGGAGATGCCGGAAAGGCAGTCTAAAACTATGCAGACAGATAGTAGTAGTTTTCTAGGGTTATTATCTGTCCACATACTCATTTGTCCAACAAGTTCTTTTTTAGTATCTTCTACGGATCAGTACTTTGTGGATATGTTTGTGAATAAGATATTGCCCTTGTCCATACAGAGCATGTGTTCTCTTGGGCTATTTATTTTTGGAGGGTTGTTATGATTTAAATGGAAAATGGTGCTATAAGAATTATTGACTCTTCACTTTTTACAGAAAACCCTTTGTCCTGAGAAGAATAGAGCAAGGTAAATGAGAAGGTGAGTTCTTCAAATATAATGTTAATCTAGAGAAGGGATTGACCTTTCCCAAGATACTTACTGAATAGGACTTAGGATGAAGTCAGGCTTAGTTGTGATTTGAGCTCTAGCTGTAGTCTTGTGTATAAGAATACTATATTCTGTTTATACAGCAGATTCTGCCTCCAGCCACAGATGTTTCCGGCACCTGGTTAATTTATCCAGGAAAGGCCAATGCTCATTAAGGCTCCCAAGTCCCAGAGCTAAGTTTTATGGGTAGGGAAACTGAGGTACTGAAATTGGTTATGGGATTGGCTCAGATCACAGCTCGCTGGATGTAGGACTCTGGCCAACACAACTGGCAGGTCCTAGGAATGGGACCAAGGTCTCCCTCCCTGGGACTCCCTGACTCAAGAACGGCTGAGGCTTCTCAGACCCCCGTCTCTAATTAGGCTTAAGAAATATTAGAGGGACTCGAGACCCTGCCGGGAGAGAACCTGTTTTGCCAAAGAGAGGCTTGAATCAGGAAACCAGGTGTTGCTTCAGGTTGCAGGAGCCCTGGTAGCATCACAGCTGTGAGTCCTGGGCTGCAGTCCGTCAGGGACACGCTGGACATGTGGCAACTGGGTCTCTCCTCTTCCTTTCGCTGGCTGGTTTCTAAGGTCCCTTGAGTGGCCCATATCGGGGTTGCCTCTCAGTGGAGACACATCCGGAAACCAAAGTGGATTCCTGTCTAGAGATGGTTGTGATATCATTTGTCACTTTCAGTTTCACTAAGCACATCCAGAGGTGGAGCAAAATGTCTTACCCTTTCACCCCAGTCTGTGGCAGTGGTCATCATCCAGGAGCGCATGTCAGAACCTCCCGAAGGGACCCCCTGGGACTGGGGGAGTTGGGTGTGTATGGTATAGTTTGAACAAGCTTATGTAATAGTATAGTTTAATTTTGTACTTTGGACATTAAAAAAAGAATCTGTTGGTTTTGTGATTTGCCCATCTTGGCATTTGCCTAAGTGAACTACCAAAAGTGAAGCTCATTCAAATTTTCTTGGCCACTTGGGATAACCAGTCATTCTAAAAATTGTTGGGAGACTGGGAGATTTTAATGTTTATTAAGAAAAAAAAAGACTGAAATAAAAATAGACTCTTTTCTAGTTGCCTGGCTGAAACAATAGCCCAGAGCTGGGGATTCTGGACACAGTCACAGCAATAATGTGAAGACTAAAAATAATAAAGTGCCATGTCTTTGAAAGGGCTGTCCCAGCTTTCAACAGTGACAAGAATGGTTAGTGAGTGGGCTTTGTATTGTGTTTGGAGAGCCAACTGATCTGGGTTGGCCAGACCTGGTGAGACCTGGGAGTGCAGATCTGTTGCTGTGACCTCAGGTCCCTGAAGCTTAACTCCAGCAAGGAAGTTATGGATGTTCCCGGGTGATGGAGGTCCAAGTGAAGCAGGGCCTCACCAACTCAGGTTGTAGAGGTCACACTTAGCAACTGGCGCCGTTCAAAGTTTTTTTTACTTCTTTGAAAGGCTAGCAGGAGGTGGAGAACTTATATTTACACACAATAGTTTTAAGCCACCAAGATTTGGGGTTTTTTGTCACCACAGCAAAACTTAAACTGTTCTGACTCACTAAGCCTCAGTTTTCTCATCTGCAAAATGGGAGTAAGATTAACCTCATATGGCTATTGTGAGACTTCAATGAATTAATGTTTATAAATTATGTAGTCAATGCCTTGTATGTACAGGGTGATCAATAAAGGTAGCCATGTTGATACTGTGTTGCTACCGTGTTACAGTGTTGAAAACATCTTTTTCCTTCAGCCATTGGTATGGTCACTTACAAAGGCTCTAAAGAACTTGGGGCATTTGGTATGGATTCTGTCCTTGGAGCTGATTTCCCAGAGGATGAGTTAGATTTGCTCTGATTAATCCACACTCTCTCAACCAGGCTCGACCATGTCTGCAAGCATATATTCATTTTATGCATCTTAATTGAGCACCTCTTACACACCAGGCCTTGGGCCCAGGAAAAACTGGGGAATAGGTGGGAATCACTACCTGCATCAGTATGAATCGTCTGGGTGCTCAGGGAAGCAGATGCCCTTGGAGAGAAAAAGGGGAGGCAGCTGGAGGGATGCAGAGAGCCTTCAGAGAGCCCTGTGAAGGAGAGAGAGCAGGAAGGAACATGGGTAGCAAGAGTCTCAGACGGCTGCCCCATTCTAAGAACGGTTTGGCCTGTCAGAGGAGTCCCGCATCTGGCAGGAACAACCTGCATTCAGGGCTTGCTAGGGCAGTAGCTGGGCGGAGCCCATGGGAAGAAAGGCCGTGGCATAGTACTTTGGCGGAGACCTGAGGGGCCCATTTCTAGGGCTGCCACACTGCCTTCATGGAGTTTACAGTTTGGAGGGGGACACAGGCATTAAATAATCTCAGAGGCAATGATGGTTTGCAGTTGTGATTAGAGCCATGGAAGAGAAGCCCAGAAGACCACGAGATGGTATCACAGAGAGCCTGGTATTATGAAAGGTTGGGAAGACTTCCTGGAGGAAGGAGATTTCTGGGGCTGAGGTTAGAAAGACAAGCAGAGGCTGGCTAGGTGAAGAGGGGCTGGAGACATAGTCCAGAGAGGGTGAGAGGCATTCCAGAGAGAGACAGTAGAGTTGATGTCTGACAAATGGTCCTAGAAATTCTGGAGGCTTAAGAAAGGATCATTTCTGTGCTTTCCTAATGTTCTTTCCTTTGGGATTCAGTGGTGGCATTTTTTTTCCTGGGAAAAAGAACTGGCCTCTTCCCCACCGAGCATACATTGTTAAGTAGACCCAACTGAGACTTTGTACATCAAATATCAAAGAAGTCTGGATTTATCCACTTCTTGGGGGATTGGGACATGCTGGCCTTATTGATGAAGAATTTATCAGGCCACTGATACCAGGGAGCTCTCAATGTTGAGGAGAGGCCCCAGTCATCTCCCCTGTATTGAAAAATGATGAATGTTTGACTACAGACAGCAAGAGTCTAAGTATGAGGTTGATGGTGTTCTGTCTACCCAACCCCATGCGGCCTCCCAGCCATAGGCTCTGTCGGGTCCTCCGTGTGCAGGTAGCTCTGCGCAGGTCTTGGAGAGGACAGGATGGCTCGTGTGAGCCGACCCAGATGCATGCAGGTCCGTGTCGCGTGAGAGGGGCCAGGAGAGACAGAGGTCTCCTGACTTTCCTATGAGCCTTTCTCTGAAATCCATGGCTTTTCTTAAATACTAGAAACCTTAGCTGATTTCTATAACAGGCCAGTGCCCTTAAAATGTGTTTCCCTTCATCTGAAAGCCCCAGCCAGACCCTCTGGCCTGGGTAATCAAGAAGGCCGGTCCTAAGAGAGTCTCAGATAATTCCGGGCTCTTCGGGACAGGAGGCCCTACCTTGAGTTCTGACATTGTTTCCATTCAATTTCTATGCCCCTGTTGGAGACCATTCTCTTTTCTTCTTCTGCCTTAAATATATTAGCAATATGTATAAATCTCAGCAGCCTTCTCTTGTAGGAGAGTAACATTTTTAATATTACTTAAAAGAAATCAGCTCTGTGTGATGAAGCGTTCAATTCGGTTTTCTGCCCGCCTGTGCACCTGAAGAATGATTCTTATTAGATTAGATTCTGTCTCAGGCTGTATTAGCGTCTAATGTTTTATCTGCTCTTTCTGGTGAGAGAGGACTACTCCCTCCCACGCTCGTTTCCAAGTCTGTGCATCTCATTGTGCATCTGCTGTTGCTTTACCCAGGCCTGAGTAGCCGCTGACAGCGATTGGCAGAAAAGTGTTTCCAAGAATATTTTAAAAAGAAAAAAGAGTGAAAGGGAAGAGGAAAGAAAGGGAGAAAAGCAAAGCAAATAAGAGAGAGGGAGAGAGTTCTGCTGAAGAATGAGAACACACCGGCCTCCGCCTGCCATGTGTGATTGATCGTACAGACCGGGGCCCTGGCTTTGTTACAGCTATGAGCTGGCACTCGCCGCATCACCCATATGACGCCCGTATTTGGAACAGATAGATTTTCTATTTAAAGTGCTGACTGGGGTGTTTCTGGCTCGCATTTTCTCAGTCCCTGCTCGGCTTCGAAGCATAAGAAGCCGGGGCTTGTGAGGGGAAGGAGGGTGGGCATGGGGACACCTTAGTTTCTATGGCATGCCCTGCCATGTAAATGGTGGTTTAGACACAGTCTAGATCCAGTGAGGGTGGGAGGGCCAGCTCTCACCTCTGTTCACTTTGTTTTCTCTTTTCTCCTTCCCACCACCGTTCCTTCTGGAAGAGAAGTCTTAGGTGGTGTCTATACAACATTAGAGAAATCATATAGAAAATGTTAAGCCCCACAGAATAATTCTCCAGGTGGTGAAGGTAGATGCCTTTTATGACATGATCTTTCTGAAATGGAGCCTTCAAAATGGCCCTCCTCCTGTGGAAGACGTTCTGTGTTGACTCCCCATTGCCACCTGGATATGCCCCACTTTGAGCTCCGACATTGCCCCCTGCAATGTGAGAGGCAAGGAACTCGGTGAGCTGCCCCTGCAGTGCCCTTCACTGTCCTTTGGTGCTGCTTCCCTTACACACACCTTCTGTGCCTTATGAGGTGTCGAGCGGGGTCCCACCAGGGAAGTCTTACAACAGAAGGCATTAAATGCAGGGAATTCATCAGTAAAGGAGGGCCGAAAAGCCAACGGGATGGTGTAGGGACAAAGATCACAGATGGGGCCTTGGTCACCTGGAAGAGGCCGGGATCACGTAAGCCTGTCCAGCTGAAGTCACTGATGAGACAGAGCGGCCTGAGACAGGGAAGGAGAGAGAAATATTCTGGCTTTTTCTTTCTCCTTCCTTCCTGTCTCAATTAGCTCAGGCGGCCATAATAGAATAGCACAGACGGGGTGGCTTACACAGCAGACATTTATTTTCTCACAGTCCTAGAGGCTGGGTGCCTAAGACCACATGGCCTTTCCCCTGTGTGTGTGCAGAGAGAGAGAAAGAAAGAGAGGGAGAGAATG